CAACACCAAAATTATACAGATTATTACCAGATAAAAATGGTTCAACATATATATCTTTATTGCATGCGGTATTGAATTTATTTCATTCGAACAATATTTTCATTAATCCAAAGTACATAACCATCGATTTCGAATTCGCTGCGATCAATGCTATTAAATTAGTTTTTCCAAATGCGACAATCAAAGGATGCAATTTTCATTTTAACAAATGTATTTATAAAAAACTGCAAGAACTTGGATTTCAATCGTCATTCATCAATTCAACATCAAATGATCCAAATGGAATGAACATAAGAGAGCTTTATAAGAAAACGTGCGCACTTGCATTCATGCCACAAGAAGAAGTTAGAAATTTATGGGTCAATGTCATGGATGAATTTCAAAATATTGAACGCATTAATCAATTTTATGATTATGTCACAAGTACATGGATAGACGACGATGCATTATTTCATATATCGTTATGGAATTATTTCAATTTTAAAAGTTTAAGAACGAACAACAATTTGGAGGGTGGGCATTATCGTTTAAATAATGATTTGAATCATATTAATCACCCATTTTTATATATTTATTCGTGCAATCCAAAATGATTATGCTCATAATGCCGCAACATTATCAAGACACTTAGCCACTGATACATTACCACCACGAAAAAAACTATACGTCAATCGAAATGCAAGATTGCTCAATTTGGAAGATCGTTATCAAGCACACACAAGAATACTTCGACGAAGTGTCAAGATTAGTAGGCGTTAAGAAATTTTGATTTTTTTTTGTTATTGTACTACTGTATATACGCATAAAATAGTTCTCTCTAGTAAACTCTTTCTATAGACTCGCTTAGAGTGCTTTTATATCAACTAATTTGTATTTTCGACGAAACGGGACAGTGGTATTTTTATTTTCGACGAAACGGGACAGTGGTATTTTTATTTTCGACGAAACAGGAACACTGGGAAAAAAATGTTTCGACGAAACGGGATAATTAATTAAGCTTTCGACGAAACGAGAATACTCGGTAATTAATAAACTCATTGTCGAAAAATAAGAAAACAGATTTTTCTTATTCACATCGGTTTTAATTAAAAAGTCTGTTTGATAACTATTGAATAAAAGATAAATCAATCGAAGAACAATTGCATAAGTATTATGATGCTGAGTCAACATGTGACAACACTAACGATATCACACTAAAAAAATAATGTGTCGCAAATTGCGACATAATCATCTGCGACACCGGCAGCCACTTGCGACACATTTTTTCTATTGAGGCTGCGACACATTCCGCTGAGTATTTCTACTATAAAGAAAACAGTGGAAATTAGGTATTTTGATCTCCTATTCAACTCTAAAAATATTTTTAGTTCGTTTTGGGTGCACTACATAATGTCGATGAGCTCAATCCGCCCGTAATATGCACAGGCCTTCAAAATATTAAGTTTACCAGATCTGAGGTTAATAGTGTAGTCAAGGTCTCGGATTAGTCGGTTTTCGTCAAAGAAAAAATGTTTAACATAGAAAAAAGGTTAAATAGACTTAGACAGGGATCTTTATCCACGAATAACTTTCGAAATTGAAAGAACTTAAAAAGCCCGAAAATTTTCTTATCTTTTACGTATTAGCGCCACCTATAGCTCATCAAAATTGAAGAGAAGCCGAGAAAAATCATAATGAAGACTATTGAAAATAGTAAAACATAAAATTTAGCAAGTTTTTTAACAGAGTAGATTCTCAAATGGCCTCAAGAACTGTATCTAAAAGCTCTTAGTAACGGCGACACAAACATGCGACACAATTTTCTCACAGGAGCTGCGACACATTTTACTGCAATACAAAATGGGACACAATATTTTTTACTGTGCAATGTCCATCTGACGATTGTTCCGTCGAAGAAAATATCCATCGTCTAAAGAACTTTTAGCAAAGCTTATATCTAAACTCTTTGCAAGATTTAGTTAGTAATCGGTAGATTATCGAACACTTTATTCCCACAAGCATCCATATATGTATGAAAGCATGAATACAGAAACGAGAACCTCTTACACAATGAATAAGGGCCAGTAAAATATAAAGATATGTGTGCTTTTCGCAACTGTCAAGATGTAAAAAAGACAAAAAAAGAATACAAAGAAGTGATGCTATGATTGGACCGAAGGTGCAGATCGCAGCAGTCTAAATAAGACTGTGAAGCGACTGAGAACATTATCTGTCGATAATGTATTTGCAATTTTATTAAACTTCAACGGATTGAAAATATTTGACTTTAATCAATGAAAAAAAAATACCCATTAAATTTGATCAAAGAATCGACGAATCGCATAAAATCAAAAATGATATGGACCTGCGGAGTATATAAAAGAAAAAATTATACCTTGTTCAAGTTTCAAAGTCTCGACTTTTTCACAAGTCGTACTTAAAGCTCAAAATAAATTAAGAAAAGATAGATATTCACGTTTCAATATTGGTAAATTTGAAGCCAAATAATGAAGAGCATTTAAAGCGGTGAAAGGAGTACAGTTTTTATCCTCTTTTAATATGAAAGCATCACAAATAAATATTCAACCATACTGCGTAGACAAGGACGATTTTGGTTTGTTATCGCCGTTTTTTTCTTAAACACAAAATCATCTTTATCTTCGTTTAATTCGAAAAAAGAGAAGCTTAACACTGAAAAGTTTCAGTGAAAAGATTGTCAACAATTAAGTTTTATCTCAATATAACTCGGATAATACGTGTTGTATACAACTGAAACAAATATCGTGGAATGTCTATTTGTTAAGAGAAATTCAATCTGTTAAATCTGCTGAAATGAAGCATGAAATTGTTCATTTTGATATTCTTCCCACAGATTATTTCCCTTATGAACAAAATAACCATTGCTATGATGATAACGATAATGTGAATCCCAATATCCATTCATATTTTGTCCAATTAAATACATTTGATCTGGTGTATCAGCATGAGACCAATGTAAATCTTCATTATCTTTATAAAAATAAACAAACATTTTTCTTTCTGCATCAAAAATTTTCACTTGTTCAGGAACTAATATTCGAGAGTTTGATTCCACTTCAATTGTATCCACACATTCTAATTGTATAATTCGAGCATCTGGAATAATTTTTTTTACACGAAATCCACTATACGGATAAAATAAAACTTCTTGTTCATATGAATATTTTGAATACATACTAATATCTGTACGATATGTAAAATCATTTGTTGATGCATTAATTTCAAATGTATAATTACCAAATGTTGATGCTACATCTTTATTACGTGATGTGCTAGAAAATGTTGGCCAAAGAAATGTCATACCTTCTTTATATTCATCTTTTACATAAGTTGAACAGAATTTAAGATTACGATAAACTTTAATTGAGTCTTGATGAAGATTTTCTTTAATAGCTTCACGTAGATTATTGATATAAATCATATTTTGATTTAAAATATTATAATTATCGGATAGAAGAGCATCATTAATTATTGTATAATATGGTGCTTGTCCTTCTTCTGTCCATTTATGAAATATATTTGATTTATTTAATGATTTAGGTACATTCGTTTTGATGATGTCTAAATAACATGGACGACGAAAAGTTGGTAAAAGAAAACGTGATGTTGTTGCAGAAAATCTATGTGTATCACGAGTGCTTTTCATTGACAAGATTAGTATAAAATGTTTCAAAATCTCACTAGTAATTGTGTTTGTTACACTTTTCAGTAATGAATTCTATTAAAAGAATGGGATAGAATAATACAATAGTCGGAAATACAGAGAAGAAGTTTAACAGTTGCACGATCTGAACAAAACAACAACTATTACGCAAAAAAAAGGACGAACTGAGTCATCGATAGATACAGAGAGGGAGGAAAGATCAACGAACGGAAGAAGATATGGAATGTAAGAGAAAACGGCAAAAAGAAGAGAAGCAGCTGCTGGAACGAAAGAGGTCGTCTTATAACAGACATTAATCTCGAATTTGTTTCTCTGTCTACAATTACAATATATTTTCCTTCGGTGAGATTGGTTTTTATATATATAATATCTAGGTACATTTTTAGCTACCCGTAATAGATTTGGATCTAGAAATCATAAAAAATGCAGAGACTGACTTGAAAAAGTGAAGAAAAATGAGAAAAGAGCAAAAACAAACATTTTAATTTTATAGAAGAAAAATGGTTCAATTTTATCAGATAATATTTAATTAATGAAATGTTTCAATCTAAAAAGCTGTTAGCGCAATCCCTGTGGGAGTAAAATGTGAAACACAATGGAGCTACTGGTATTGTAAACGAGGGGATTAATCACTATATGTTTCGGCTTATGGATTCGACGTACTGTTAATACATGTCAATGATGAAAGATATTAATCGCAATAGATTGCAGTGACTGTGAAAGAAAGGTAAATGACAACTATCATACTAATTCTGTAGTGGACTTTGATCTTGCACTTATGTCTGTCACGGTCTGTGATGGTTGCTAAGGCGTCTGTCACCCTATAGTCATCGGTTCTTATATAAGAATCTGATAAGAATAACGTACGAGTTTTGCTCACTCTTACTAATTTCTTATGAATTCTTGTGAGATTCTTATAAGAGTCAGCAGAATTCTTGTCACTTTCGTGGAAGATCTTATAAAAGAATTGAGTAAGATTCTTATAAGACTTCACAAAATTTTTTTGTCTAGGACACGTCTGGGATGTATCGTTGCTAAGGATGTCTGTCACGACTGTGGCGGGGGTGTAAATTTCTACCCCTATATACTTCAACATTCCTTTTAGATCGTGTTTCATAAAATTATTTGGTAAAATCGAATACTTTCTTTACATGTTTTCATTGAGTTTATTTATCATTTGATAGTAAACATTTTTATATTTTTTTCATTTCAACAAAGATAAAATACAGCAAGTCTGTGCCCGTTCCCATAAATTTAATACAAGCACGAAAAGTACTTGTCTGAAAGGAAAATATCATTAAACAATCACTGTGTATAAGGAGGTCAAATAAAATAGGAGTTGTTCGTTCAACATTTATTTATCATCTTATTATCGTGCTTTATGCAAAATAAGTTTCATTGCGACTACCTGTTTCAACTAAACGTCTAGAAAATTTTATGAAAATGTATCAATTTAAACGTGCTCGATTAAGTATTGTATTATTATTGAATTTGAGTAACTCTTTGATGTGTTTTTATAAAAATTAACTGGAAAGAAATAGAAATTCTTTCAAGTTCGCTTTCAAGTCGGTTGAGTCTGTTTTTGTACACATCCTATAGAAAATTTGCTGTCATAATAGGAGCGAAGATGCCGAAGAGTTTGAGAAATTGTCTTCAGTTGAATCAGCGATGTATCCAGGATTTTTCCATCATTGGGCAAGCTTCTACGCTGAAATATGACAGTTGCAACGATTGACGTAATACGTTGGCCGAGTTTACGTCAAAATATGACGAAATACTATAGTATACGGTCGTGACTTTTTGACCTGGGAGAGAAGACGAAAATGTTTGTAACTTTTTCATTCGTTTGACGAAGAAGATTGCTAGATCTATTTGTCAGAAAATAATATCGTATTTTAAAATATCAACAGACACATTATCGACAGTGATAGTGACCCCAATCCCTTATTGGTATTAGATGAAAACTGAGAAAGATAGTTCGTAGAACTTTGCATAATGCGTTATACTACACTGTGAAAAATTTCAGATCTTAAAGCTTTTAAAGAACTTTTCCTTGAACTGTAATAAATTTTCTAAAACAGAATTTAAACTGACTTTTTCATCAAATATTGAATTCTAAGTTTTTGTTTTTCTGTGAAGCTAAGAATATAATTAATGAAAAAATATTTAGTTTTAGATACTGGTACTTCTCTTTGAGTACGCTCCTATTGATGGAACTGTAGGACAACATTTAGATTCAAAAAGTGTAGGCACTCTTGAATAAGCCTCGATTCGATAAATGCTTTCTCATCCCAATCTAGAAAACTTTTAAAAAGTGTCATATCTTTATGCGATGAGCCAGTTTGCACTGGTTTATTTGAAACTGTAAAGTTTTGCACAGTTCTTTTCTTAGTTCACTTTGCAATATTTTTTGAACTTGTTCTTAGTTCTCTAACAAATGAATATTTGTCACAGTGTATGATTAGAACTTAACATTCTTCTTTGACGCACATGGAAGATGCACGACAGGTCACTCTCAAGACGATTAAAAACTTGTTTATGGCATAATGATATTCAAAAACAGTCATTTCATAATATAATTAATTTGCGTCAGACACTCCCTCCCTTTTTGATTTTTCATTTTCTCCCTCTCTAAATTAACTTTCGTTTTATAAATGCTTTTGGCTATTAAAATGACCAAAATATTATGAAACGATATCTTTTTGATGACGCAATCATGATTTTGAGTCAGCAATTCAATTAGCATCTGTAGTTTCCTAGCATAACGGAAGAACTGCGTCTCTCTGTCAAATGGTAGACCAAGCTTTATTTAAAAACAAACTTGGCAGTCTCGCGTTGTTTATAATACTGAAATTACTATACAATATTTCCAGCTGCATCATAAGAATAGGTCCGTCCATCATATATATACTCACAACTACTTACGGCCTTATTTCTGTAAACAGTGATGAAATTGACTTCTCTTGAATCAAATCAACATCAAACGTAATAATGACTTATATCATCTATAACAATTCATTTCTTATTCTCTCTGACCTTTTTCAATTAATTTAGTGTATGTGCGATGCTAAGGAAAGGTATGAACAGAACAGTTTCTTATTCGGATGTAGTTGTTGTTTGATCATCATGGTCTCTCTCTATTTGATAATGGTGTACGATAACGAGAAAAACGACACGAAAGACTTCAATTATTCAATTTGTCAGACTATCATCATTATAGGTGTTTCCTACAAACCACTTCATTTTGACAGATGCTAAAATTTTTCAAAAAAAATTTAAAAGTAAAAGTCAAATGAAATATGATTTTCGCATTTTGAGCACATCGACATTTGTATGTTTTGTTTTTACTTTTAATCAGTAAATGAACTATTATGATCTCCTAGACAAAGTCCTCAAATATGAACACCTGTTATGCATGAACAATGATGTGCAGTTCTCTGATATATATGAATAGTTTGCAGACAACAATAGCATAAACTGGTACTTGTGAGATATATTTTTTGACGATTAAAATTCAATGTTATATCATATTCTCACACATATAATAAACTCCATCATGCACCGTTACTCAAATCGGCATAAAATATCATTTAGTCGTTGCCTCCTCGATGATGAAACTTGTTCATTAATAGTTGATGAATTCAATAATATATGATATTTTTTCCATCAATTAATGGGACCCACTAATGCTTCTAAATAAATGACTTGTAATGCTGACGGCTGAGCAGGGATAACACGTTTCATATATAAAACTTCGTCACTTTGTTTTTGTTGTGCTTGAAGAAATGTATCATCTGCATGGCTAATTAAATGAGATGCACCGCCTGTTATCTTAATGACGAAAAAGAAAGATATGAGCTTTAAAGTAGTTATAAAAAAATGAAAATTGAGCCTGAAGTTCATACCTCTAACACTGCATTTTCGATATAGTGCGTCTAAAAAATTTTCTCAACCGGATAGCTCACTGTGAACCCTGATATACCTTTGTTGTAATAGCTATTGTTGGTAGATCGCTATTGCTGTCTTTCTGTTTCCTTTTGTTGTTTAATAACATCATTCAGTAGGACATATCGATCATATTTTAAACGCTGTGTTCCAATTTGAATTAAATTTGTTGATTAATTAACGTCCCATTAATTCATCATATTTTATATTAACATTGTTCAAATAGATGATATCATCATATAATTGCGTATATAATTTTTCAACTGTACCCGAATAAATTCTCATATTTTTAATACATTCCAGCATATCATTTAATGATTTCATATTCATTGCTTTTTTGATCGTTTCCAATGAGCCGATTATGGAGGATTCATTACTTGAGTCATCATCGTCAGAACGTCAAAGTACTGAATTAGCACGAAAGGGTACGAATGATGAAGCGACCATTCCTGGATCTGTTATAGAAGAAACAACAGCAATTGAAAAATTGACAGTTTTCTTAATATTAGTCACAATAACTTCGCAAAGAAGTGCGCGAACTTACATTCATAATCATGCAGCAACCAATGCAACTGTCTTATTTTTAAGTTCTAAGGTATCCTCGAAACATCAGCAATTTTGTTGAAACTTGAGAAACATAAATGTGTATAACATTAAATATTTTAATTTCTGAGCGTGTATATGACGATGCCATACATACAGAAATAGAGAAAAAGCTAGTCGTCTTATACTGTCTATGACGTTTGTTCGAATGTTACTAACAGCATTAGAAAATAACTTATTTCGTCTACATTATACTACTAAAAAAATTATTGTAGAAATAGAAATGTTTAGTAGTCTGTGAGACAATTATCGTTTGTCGTTCACAAATGCTGCTTAATCAATTATTCGTGTACTTTAGGTGGAAACTGTCTGATGAGTGTACTTGTTCTACGTGTCCGTGGAGTTGAAAAAATGAGTCTTGTCGTCACACATAATACAAATAAAATTTTTATTATATCGTGCGCGATATGCAACAAAACTTTTGAAGATGCATG